GGGAGAGGTGGCAAGGGCATTTTCTAACCTCAGCATACCTAAACAGGATGTCCTCATCCTGTTCCCACTACCCTTGGTGAAGTCAGCCCTGCTTACACATCTCAGCTCCTCCCATACTCACAGACCTCAAGAGTCAAGCCCAAGCCCCAAATTTCCTTTCCTCAACTGTTCTTATATTTCTTTGAAAAAAAAATCCCCACTCAAAACTCAGTACTTTTCCACCATCAGCCCAGTCTCCCTTTCCCTAACTGTCCCTTCTTAGCGATTTTTGCCTGTATGAGTGACCTCCAGATTGTGTGCTCTGAAACCAAAATTCCCCACCGTATTGGGCGTGTATGCAGAGGTGCACGTTTACGCTCCACAGTGCTGCCCAAAGGGACTTAGGTGTGGATGGAGGTGAGGCCACGGGGCACGTTGGTTGGACCCTTGACTCGGGAGAGATGACCCCGTTCAGATCCCGTTCTTCCCCACCATAGGAGGAACAGTGTACAGAAGTTAAACTCCTGCCTGGTTCAAGTCCTAGTTTCCCTGCTTGCCAGCTGTGTGACTTTGGGCAAGTGTTTCAACTTTCACTGTCAGACTGGACTGTGCCTTCTTAAAGTAGGGGAGAAGACTGATTCCTAACTCACAGAGTTGCTGCAAGAATTAAGTGAGATCAGCATTTCAATGTAAAACAGCACCTGACACACATGGTGTTCTCTCAGTATCTGAGAATTGTTGTTACCATGTGGCTTTAGGCAATTACTTAATCTCTTATTTTCCTCTTTTTTGCCAAGGAGGACAAATCAGATGAATGGCACCTTCCTCAATTCTCATTTTGAGGATTAATTAAGATAATGCTTATGAATACCAAATGCCCTGTCTGACACAGAGACGGTCTCAATACTCATTAGTATTTATCAACATTTCCACAACTTTACCCTCCCCTGCCTCCAGGAGCCCACCAGATCTTGTATTGCTTTGTTTGGTGTATTTGTGTGCACATTCTTTTTTTTTTTTTTGGTACCAGGGATCGAACTCGGGACCTTGCACTTTCAAGGCAGGCAGCGGAACCACTGAGCTAAATCTCCAGCCCTATGTGTGTACATTCTTTATGTTATGTTCCCAGAACTGGGGAGTTGGGGCTTTAAGATGAAGGGTCAGATTGCTTCCATGTCATCAGTGTCAGATAGGTGAGTGAGGGCCCAGAGCAGCAGTAAGTAGTTCATGGGCTTCTCAGCCATGCTAGTTCTCCAGCTTAGGGGAAGTTTGGTTTCTGAGTGCTTTTACTTACTGCCTTGTTAGCAGGGACAGAATAGCACCCAGGCAGCGACTGAGTATGTCCAGGTAAGGCAGCAGCTCTCCACTGGGAGTAATTTTTGACCTCAACAGGAGATAGGTAGCAGTGTCTGCAGACATTTTTCCTTGTCATAACTGCAAGGATGTTACTATATCTAGTAGAAGCTGGGGTTGCTGCTAAATACTCTGCAGTGCATTGGCCATCTCCCATAGCTAAGAATTATCTGCCAAAAATGTCCACAGAGCTAATGTCAGGAAAACAGAAGTGAATGCTGCAGAAAGTGGGCAGTGGCCTCTCTCCATACTGGCTGAGGGCCTGAGGGCAAGCAACTCAAAGTGTGGCGAAGAATATTCTCCTTTCCTGGATTCCCAAGTTATTTTTCTCTACCTCTGCCAGCTTAATCTCCTCCCTCACTGCCCCAAGGACAGAGCAGCTTTGAATTTTCTTATCCTTATCTTGCAATCCAGAGCAGTGCCTAATCCTGAGCTATGTGCTGTGGCAGATCCAGGAGAGAGATAATTCTGGTCCCTACCCTTAGGGAGCTTCTGTCTGATAGCTGTGCGTTAACAGGAGTCATTCTGTTTGTAACAGATCAGGTACTTGCACAAATACACACCCAGGCACCCCATGGGCTTGGCTGCACGAGCAGGCTGCACAACTGGAATCAGACGGGAAGTGAATGGATTCAATTACGAACACCTGGAGTTGTGTCCAGCTGTCTATCAGTTGGTGTGAATCTCTGGATTCAGGGTGGTGTGGTTGTGTGTAGGTACAAGTGTGCACATGCACTGTTACCATGTCTGCTTCTTTCTGTATTTGTCTGTATGCTTCTGTTTCTCTCTCTGAGTGTCTCTGTCTCTGTCTGCCTGTTGGTCTCCTTTTTTCTTTCTCTCTGTCTTTTCTCTTTCTTGATCACTGTCTTCATGTTGCTTCTTTCTCCTTGAGTCTTTGTTACACTGTCAATTGTTTGGTTGTTTGTTTTTTATCTCTGTATTTCCACATCATTATTTTAGACCTAGTCTTCCTGTTAGACTGGGAACATTTCTCCTGGTGACAAGAGAAGAAATATAATTCTTTCCTCTGAGCTTCAGTTGGAAGAATCCTGAGAAGGTCTTCTAAATTGTCCCAGGATGTCCTAAGGCTAGGATGTCTCATGACCATGCCAGGAGAGGACATCTGGGGGTTCAGAGGGATGGTTGGCTATGACTGACCAGCCAGCCTCGCAAAAAACACATGGCTTGAGTCACATAGAACAGAACCACATAGGATAGAACAGGAAAAAGATACTAAGTGGAGCAAAACCACAGTTGCCCGCGAGACAATACTAACTCAAGAGAAAGAAAGGTCCTAATCAAAGTGTAAAAGCTGGAGAATGTATGCTCAGGATTCTGAGTTCACCAGAACTGTGAAGCAGAGTTTACCGTGAGCTCTAGTGACTAGGGAAGGCTCACAGGGAGACTTGATTCTTAGTTTCAGCCTTGAAGATGTTAGATCTTGGACAGATGGAAGGACAGGAGCATGCCTAGATAAGAGCATGGCTTCTCGGCTGGTTTATTGGTGTGCTTGCCTTGTTATCAGCTCCTGAGAACTAAGGGGTTTCTTCCTTTTTAATAGAGCATAGCATCTGATGACCACAGTCAGGCTTAGTCATTATGGTTCCAGTCGTGAGTGCTACACTACTGATGATGGTGGAGAGAGGTTGTAGGAACAGCTGAGAAGCTGCTCATCTGGGGAGAGTACTGTCTTGCTCCTAAAAAGCAGACAGGCTGCTGAGCAGAGGAGGTGTCAGTGTAGGACCTCTGGTGCCCTCAGTGCTCTGTGTGTCTGACACCAAGTGAGTTTTACGTTGAAATTTGACCTCACCACAGATGGATTTGGTTATTACATTAACAAACATATAGGGGGCACAAGATATGCACTAGAAACATAAGTGCCATTGGTTGAAAAACAAGTAAAATAAGGTCCTACTTCCTTATCATTTATGTCTAAGTAGGAAAGACCAAGGAGCATGATTGATCCATGCAAAGCTGTAGTTCTCAAACTTGGCTGCACAGCTGGGAGCTTAAAAAATGTTGATGCCATGGTCCCATCCTCTTAGATGCTGCCTCAATTGGTCTAGGAGGGGCCTGGGCATCTGTGTATCTCATAGTTCCTCCAGTGGTTCTCATGAAGAGCTATCTTGCAGGACCACTTAGGCAAGGATGCTGAGAGTGGAGGAAGGCTCTTGAGTGAGAGGAGGGAAGGAAGTGCAAATGCAGGGGTGAGGCCAGGAGTCATGGACCGAGGGGTGCGTCTTCAAGCTGGGGCAGGATGTCCTTGAACTTCTAGCCTCGATTCTGTGTGACCTTGGACAAAGGTAACTTCTCCATTTCTCAGTTTCTCCTTCAACCAGATGCAACTAATGACCCCTGCCCTCCTTGCCTTAGGGTTTTGCTGAGGTAAAAAAATAAAAGATAGTGTATCAGTGACCCTTGGGGAATATAAACCAAAACTCATTTATTTGGCTTCTTTCTTAGATAACTGAGGTTTCACCTTTCAAGGCATAATCGTTTTAACAGACAAATGTAATTTTATTTTCTCTAAAATATATCAAACCCAGTTTCTTAGACAGAGAATGCTGGGTGACATTGAACCCCAACTTCCCTTTTCCTATATCTTCAGCCCCTCAGCGTGGATGCAGACCCTGAGCTATGCTATAATGCAGTGACTCCCCAGGGCTTTTGCAAAGTATAGGGATTCATGGTGTGGAAGATTGGGTTTTCAGTTCTTAGGTCTGTTTTTCATCTGTCTTCTATTTCTCTTGCTATGTAGGTATGAGCTGTTGATTCTCAACATTAATCTACTTTTTCATCCTAACTTCCTGTGTCTTACCTAGTTAAAGGCTGGAAAACCAGAAAACCAATCTTAAGATGGTGTTTAAAACAGACTATGAGTGAGAGCTTACCAGAGAGAAAGGACTGCATGTCCACTGTAGTGCACACACGTTTCAATGTGTGTGTTAGCACTTTCAGGTGGGCTTATGGGCCTGACTGGATACCTGAGGCAGGAGAAGGCTGTGTGGACTTTACCTGTGGGGCTCAGAGGTCTGTCAGGATTGTTTGCAGGGATTCTCAGCCTTCCTTCTTCTAGCTATCAGCCAGAGACCTTTTCAACCCAGTTACCAGGAGAATGTCATCTTTGTCAAATCGGGTTTTGAATATTTACTACCAAAAACTATTTGCAAGGAAAGAGGAACAAAGGGCAGATGGGATCAAATCAGGAGGGCAAACACTGAAGCAAACAGAGAGGATAGGGGATAGAGCCCCACAGGAGAGTGCAGAGGGGAACCAGGGATAGAAGTAATCAACAGTGTGGAGACTGCAGAGACAGAGAGAAGACCGTGGAGGAGAGAGAAGCTCTTAGAAGCTACAAATTGTGAAGAAGGGGCAAAAACAGAGGTGTAGAGCAGCATTACTATGGAGTCTGTATTCATTATTTTTTCAGAGTTCTTGACTCACTGACACCATTCTGGGGCTTACACGCTGGGACCTCTGTGGGTGGGGGTTTGTAGGGCCAGCCTCCTGCCAGGGTCGGCAGTGGGATGGCTGTCTTCTGCTGGTCCCCACAGTGCAGGGCAGCCCTGTTTGAGGTAGAGGAGTCCCAAGGAGCTGCAAGCAGTGCTTCCCACATTGCTGCGTGCCATCCCCGTCCATACTGAGCCTGTCTCTCCTTCCCTCCCCAGGTCGGTGGCTGGACTGGACAAGGAGGCGGACCTGGTGCACATGGAGGTGCGCACGGCAGATGGATGTGAGTGCCCCCGGGCCGGCCAGGCCAGAGATCTTCCCGCAGTCTCTCTCCTCCCCAGATCTGCATGTTAATGGCTTGGAAAGATGAAAACCCTGAGCTCCATTACTGTCCTGTCCATCCTTATTTCCCAGAGTGAGGGAAGAGACTTCCTGTCCCAAGAGAGACGTTTCACTAAAATAAACCCTCAGGAATGAATTTTCTGGGGATGTGAGTTAATGTGATGAATTTTGAGGTTCCTGTAGTAATTTCCTTGGCATCTTTGGTGTAATTCGAATGGGGATATCCACAGCTCATTGTGGTGTTTTGCATACACACAGTGAATTGTAAGGGATGCTTGCTTTAAAATATGAGCCCTTTATATGGTCAAGCTTACCACAAAAAGTAACTGTGCAGTTATTTCTAAATGTGTCTATGTATCCATGCAGCAGATATTTAGGGGTGGCCTACTGTGTGCCAGACCGTGTTCTAGCCCTAGACATACAGCCACAAGCAAGGCTTACATTGCCCATTGTCCCTAAAAACTGGAAACTCTGAGGACTAGAGGTGTAGCTCCCAGCGGGTAGAATATTTGCTTACCCACTGCAAGGCTCTGGGTTCAATCCCAACACTGCAGAAACAAGGCTGTGATCCAATAGTGGAGACTTAAGATTTCAAACGTAGACCTCCTTTGCAACACCTTGTGTAGCTGCTCACACCATACACAAAAATTCGACTGAAGAATCATCATTTTGCACCAATTTAAACATTCATCTCTTCCCAGAATTGATCGTATTTGCGGGGTCTTTGCTATCAAAGGAAAAGGAAAATCAACTTAACATTTGAAAATGTAATTAGCATCTCCTAGATCAAAAATGGAGCCAAATAATGGGAGTGGCCTAGAAGTGCAGCATAACAAGGCTCTGCCTGTGGGGGGTGGGGGGGCAGGGGGTCCCTGGGCTCTGCCTCCCTCTGGCAATAAGACCAGGGACAGAACTTGAACCTCTGCGGGCTGTAACTTCCTCTGTGATCTGAAAATGCTCTCCTTGCCCTGGTCACCTCACAAGGCCCTGTGCTACCCACAGAAGTGAGCTGCTACGGAAAGGATGAAATACACGAATCTTATAAGGAGATTCTGTTTTGATCTGGCTCTTGGAGATGCTGAGTCATTCAGAATATGTTGTGTAAAACTGCAGGTGCTTTCTGCAGGAGAAGCCTGTGTGAGGTGAACCACGGATGCATGCCAGGAGCACACATTTTGGGGATTATGTTTTATTCACTTTAGTTTTATTTTAAAAGAGTTAGAAGGCAATCAGCAATCGTTACTATGTATCTGGCACTCTACCTGTCTCCCTCCCTCCCTTCCATTTCTCTCTTTCTCTCCCTCTTCCTTCTCTTTCTCTCTCATTTATTCCTTGAATAAGTTTAATCTCCAAGGCAGGCAGGTATGGCACTCACCCTTTTTAAATCTATTTCTTTAACAGAAGAGCTATTTGAGATTTAAGAAGATAACGTCACATATGTAAACTCACTGATCATGAAGGTGGGAAATTGTGGGGCCTACCTTTTGGTGCTTAGAAGGAAGCTAAGAGCAGAAGGGAGCTGTCAGGATTTGGAGGAGCTGAGCAGGACAGTTGGAGAAAGTGGCCTTAGAAGGTGACGGGCAGCCACCTCGAGTTGGCTTTGTTTTCTACACCAAGCTTTTAACGCCATACATGTGATGTACGGTGGTCCCAGTAGTTCAGAAACTGCATAGGATGATCTGATGTCCTACCTAGTGTAGGGATACCTTCTCTAAACCTCCCCGGGTCCAGGAGGCTTAAAATATACCCTTCCCTACTGTGGGCACCCTATTCATTTGTTTGTTAAAGTAATGTCTTACATTAAGCTTAAATTTATTTTCTGAATGTTTGAGAATTCTAGTCAAAATTAGCATAAGGCCTATGATGTAGGACTGATGTGAAATTTTATGCGATTAAAAAATGCAAAACACATAAAATACTCCCTGGTCTATTTTTAGAATTCAAGACTTGAAAAAAGCAAGCAGAAATATAACAGGAATAAATATCACTTGCTCTATTTAGGTTAAGGGATAGAGTATATTAGTTCTGTTACATTCTCTAGGTTTTTAAAATCTGTTTTTCGGTAGTTAGAATATTCTCTTAACCTACTGAACTGGTTGTAACCCAGCCTTGTTTGGAAAGTGCACACAGAAAAACTGCATTATTGGAGGGTTATTTTATTTTACAAACCCCTATGAAAGGCACAAGGTCCCTTTGTTTAATACACATAGTGAACACTTCCTTATACCCAGGTCCTCAGACATCCATAACACCTCTAACCTTTGATGGGCATAGAAAGCTACACTGATAGTACGTCTTCATCTCTTTTTTCTGACATGATAGGTTAAATTCAAATTTGTCTAAATTCACACATCTAGTTAGTGATCGGGAAAACATAGGGCAAAAGCTTCTTAACAAACTAGGAACCAAAGGGAACTTTTCCTGATAAAAGGATATCTACAAAGATCTATGATAAATATCATAATTCATGATAAGGTACTGAGAGCAGGGTGAAGCAGAGGCCGTCAGTCTCAGCATTCCTGTCCTTAGCATGCTTAAAGTCTAGACACTTCCAGAAAGCAAGAAAAATGAAATAGAATTGATACAGATTGGCAAAGAAAAATAAAATTTGTTTTCATCGACACGATCATCCATGTAGAAAGTCCATGGAGTCTACACAAAAACTCCTGGAACTAATAAGACAGTTGAGCACTGTGGCAGCATAGATAACAAGTGGGGAAAAATTAACTTCAACCTATGATGTGGACATTATTCAAATTTAATTCAAAATAGATCACAGATGTAAATATAACATATAAAATACTTAAAATTTTAGAAGACAACATAGAAGAAAAACCTCATGACTTTAGACTGACAAAGAAATCAATGTAGATATGACAGTAAGAGTAAAATAGATAAAATAAATAATGGAGACATTGTGCTTCATCAAAGTGTTGGAATATCATTTGCTCTTAAAAATTAACCATTAAAACATTGGAAGAAAATAATTCAAATGGTATACCCATCAAAGAACTGGTAGCCAGAACATATTAAAAACTCCCAAAATATAGCAGTAACAAACTTTTTTTAGAAATGGGGAAATGTTTGAACAGATCATTTAACAAAGAAGATACAGAATGACAGATAACAGCATGAAACACTGCTGACCGTCATTAGGCACGAGGGCAATGTAAATTAAAACCATATGATGTATCACTACACACCAGTGTGGATCGCTGAAATAGTCAAAACTGGCAGTACCAAGAGCTGGGAAGGGTCTGCAGCAAATAAAACTCTCATACACTGTTGGTGGGAACGCAAAACGGTACTGCCCTGTGGAAAAAAAATCTCATAATTCCACATAGCTACATACACTGAGTGGTTTGTCTGTCCCATTCCTACATATTTATCCTGAGAAATGAAAATTTCTTTTCCTGAGGAAAGCCTCTATGCAATTAATTATCTGTAACAAATGTATTAATGATCACCAGAAACTGGAAACAGCCTAATTATCCTTTAGTGATGAATTGATTAACAAGCCGTGGTTCAACTATAAACTATAATACTACTCAGGAGTATTGATATTTGCAACATCGCAGATGAATTTCAAAGGCAGGATGCTTAGTGAAATATGCTCGTCTCAAAAGCTTCCATGCTGCATAATTCCATTAATACGATCTTATGGGAAAGACAGCCTATAGAGATGAAGCATGTATTCATGGTTCCCAGGGTGGGGAATTATTTGAGAAAATTTATTTTAACATGGTGCCACTGTTCTGTAATCTGGTTGTGGTGGCGGTCATAGAAATCTATTTATTGCTTTAAATATATAGCCACATGTGCCAAAAAATTCATTGTGTATACATCTGGAAACATTAATTCCATATTTAAAACAGTACTAAGTTAAATTCTATAGTGAAAAAAACTGGAAGGCAGAATTCCTGGTTTCTGATTCTATAGCAGCACATCCTACACTTTCCCATTCACTCACTCATTCATTCATACACCTACATCTTATTTTATCCAATCAGTATTTATTTAAGATGTCCATATGGGGCCCTGAAGGGGAGGGCAGGAATGTGTAGCACCCCATCATCCAGGAGCTCGGAGTTGTGCTGGGGAGATGGACAAGTATTCAGATGGTTTGCGCACAGTTCCACAAGGACTTTCATAAAGCTGGGCATAGATTACACTGGATCCTAAAGGAGGCCGTGAGCAGGAACCTGAGTAACTTGGAGGAGGCCTCTGCAAAAGAAGAAGTGTTTGATTTGTGCTTAAAGGATTAGTAGGAGTTTATCAGGGCGTTCCGGATAGAGAAGAAACTGGCCAGTTCCCAGAGTCAGGAGCGGTAGTGTGTGCGAGGCTTCAGGCTGCACACGGGCAGAGTGGAGAGCGGCAGCGCTGGTGGGGGCTGCAGAGGACCCACGAAAGCCTCACAGGTGGCTTCCTGAGCCTCGGCCCATGCTGTCCCCCACACACCGCATCCACACTTTCACCTGCTCCTAATGATAACGCTTCCCAATTCAACTACGACTTCCTTCGCCTGACCCCCGGTAGGGACTCCAGCAGACCGTCTCTGGTCATTTCAAGATCCGTTCCACTTGCCTCTTCTGGTTGCCTGGTCACATTTAGCACATAGCAGGTGAAAAACCAGCCCCCATTCTAGCCCATCGAGAACCCAGCCTCAAAGTCTGGAGCATGAGGCAGCTTTGCTGTCTTCTTGTCCTCCTCCCCGTCCTGCTCCACTTCTCTTCATTCCAGAATGGCTCTGAGCCGGAGAGGAAGCTGCTTGTCATGTGTCCTCCTGGGAGTACGGTGGTGGCACAGATCGGGGCACTGTGTGAGCAAGCCGTGAGGTCTGCAGACTCGGCGGCTGGGGTCTCAGGACTGTCACGGCCAGAGGGGCTTAGCTGTGTCCCCAGACCCACGCCCGGTCTGACTCTGCCTGCACTATCTGCCCCAACAGAGAGGCTGTGCAGTTCAGGGAGCAGCTAAACCTATCCGGATCCTTTTCCCTCCTGGTAAACTGCAGCAGATGGATGATCCGTTCATTCATTTATTCACTGAACAGAAAGAAGATAGTCTCACAAAAGGACAATCAAATGTTCTATGTGTTTCCTAGGACAAGGTAGGGCTGCTGGCATCCATGCAAACATCAGTACAGAAACTGGTGTTTCGCCTGTATTTGTTCATCCACTCCTATTTCATTCCACTACAGTGCAATGCTTTCCAGCTGTGGAAAACAGGTGGTTCTCAGACCGAGTATTATAATCATCTGGGGAACTTGTACACACACACACACACACACACACACACACACCCCACAAATAAATTAATGGAGAAGTTATAGGGATAGGTCCTGGAAGTTCTCCCACTGTAAAACTACCCGGTGAGTCTGAAGTGCCTGCAGGGTTGAGAAGCACTGCCCCCGATCTGAGCTTCTCCAGCCTGAGCATGCTCCTGCAGCGTCCGGGCAGCTTGTGAGGCCATGGGCCCTCCTTCTGGCAAGCTCCTGGGCGCTGTGTCTGGTCCAGGGACTCCGCATGGTTCATCACTCCCCTGTCAGGGACACACTGGAGACTAGGACGTCCCACTGTAGGAGTCCACAGGTGGATGGGATGGCAGATCACTGCTGCAACATAACCTGCCAAGAGACTTTGACCTAAGTCTCAGGAGCAACGTGCCGTGAAGCTGAAAGGAGAGGTTGTCACTGCTGAGGAGAGAAAGCAGGCTACCCAGGAAAGGCCATGGCTAGGCTGTAGCTGGTAGGACCCACTGGGTTCTTCTGAGGGGGTGGTGGAGACAGTGGAAGGATTATGCTGGAGCCATGGTGTCCAGTCCAGTGGCTGTAGTCAGCGTAGCTATGGAGTCCTTGCCAGGCGCCGCCCAAACTAATGTGTGCTTTATGTGAAAAATAGGCACCAGGCTTTCCAGACGTACTATGACTAGAAGCATGAAAAATAGTGCATTAATGAATCTGATGTGATGGCATAACGAAAAGGGTTACGTTGTGGTGTATGTAGGGCTAAGTGAACCGTAGTACAAGGAATTTCACCCTTCTATTTACTTTTTAAATGCGACTACTGGAAAATTTAGGTCACTCACTCGTGCCTCACATCGTACATCTTTTGGAAAACAGTACTCTAGACAGAATCTGCTGAGGAGCAGGACAGTTGTGTGTTGTGACATTGACAGTCCTGTCTCTAAGCCCAGCTCCCACATTCTGGAGCAAACCCAGCACAAGCAGATGCCCACTCTTGATTAGATATTGGAATCTCTCCTCTGGAATCTAGTCCTCGTCTTTGGGAGCCAGACTTCCAGATGAAGCTAAAAGCATTGAATTATCTCTTGCCCTGGCAGGATTTAAACAACCAAAAGCCAATCCGTATGGTTAACAATGGTATAAATCTGTTTCTGCCATGACATTCAGAATTTAAATGCTTTTTCTCCTATTCTTTTTGGGAAATCATTTTTCTCTGAATGTCCCCTATACGTTATCATTTTTTTCTCTAACACGTATTTACTTGGTCACTGAAAAACACATAGATACACACACACACACACACACACACACACACACACACACACACACCCTGCATCCAAAAGGCAATTAGAAAGAGCACTAGGTTGGTGATATGAATTGAGTTGCAAAATTAAACTCTCATTTAAAAGCTGTTTGACCTTGGACAAATCTTTTAGCCTTTCTGTGATGCCTCATCTAGTGCTTTATCTTTTTAAAAATACTGACAAATATAAGAAATATTTTCATAATTTTTGTCAGTTCTCTAATAAAGATATTATAGCATATGATTTGCAGGAAGACAGATTTCAGTTTAATGAACAAAAGTGTCCCCAAAAATGACATAGGCTGCCTCGTGATGTAGTGAACTCAAGCCAGATGTGTGCCTTACTGGGGCACTGTGACAAGTTAATCTGGATGTGGACAATAAGTTTGTAAACATCTAGACATTGCTGAGATTCCTAGAATCAAAACCCACAGCGGCCCCATGCCAGCTCTGGGTCCCCGTGCTGTCCGTCTGTCCTCAGCTGTCCTGAGCCAGTCACTGCACGTCCAAGCTAAGTCAAGGTGAAGCGGAGTGCTTCCCGCCCAGCACTCACTCCAGGCAGAAGGAAGTAGTCGGAGGGACAGGCGCACAGTGAGACTCTCAGCCCTGCAGACTGCACTCCGGGCTCTAGGAACAGATTATTGACTCCTAAAGGACTGGGATATTGATCAGTTCAGGGATTTGTGTACTCAGAGCTCTAGCAGCTCTCTATGAGCTCAGAGGCCAAAATGAAGATGCAGTGAAGCAAACTCAGCGGAACCGCAGACTGCTTGCCTTCCATTCAGTCAGAGTAGACGCACCAAAGTCTTTGTGTATGGAGGGCATACAATTCTCTCTCATGAAAAGACTCCAAAGCATTTTTAAAGTTGGAGTGGGTAATGGTTCTCCAAAATGCCTCATTTCCCTAGCAGTATCAACGCAGATATCAACATGCTTAGGATGCCTTAGTCAGCTGGTGAGTGTGGGCTCCAGTTTAATTCTCAGCCTGCTTTTCCTTCCATGTTTCATGTATGTAATGGTTACGATCAGGATTGGGTGCCAGTTGCCCAGGTTCAAATCCCAGCTCTGTCACTTTCTAGAGCTACAGAACTTAGGCAAATTACTTAATGATTTTGTGCCTCATTTACAACACAGGGATGATAATTATAGCTCCTTTGTGGGTTGCTGCAGGAGTGTAATAAGTCAGGGCATGTAGTTCCTACAATACCAGCAGACACAGTTTGAGCATTTGAAAATATTACTTTTGTCCTTGTCATGATGCTCCTCTTCCTTCTCATGCTCCTCCTGCTACTCCTCCTTCTCCTCCTCCTCTTCATCCAGTTGTCATCTTAAGGGTCAAATTATTTGGCAGGTGGAGTAGTAAGAGCCTTGACTAGTTTCAAGACTCCTAAGGTATTCAATGTTTTCATGATTTCTAAATATCCACACACCTGACAGATTGTTCCCTGTGCCTTAAAAGCACAGACAATGTTGAAATTCTCCTATAAGATATTAAAAGCTTCACAAAAACTTTAAGTGCATAAGCCTAGTAAAAGGAACGGAAACTCCCACTTTTGTCAATTTTGCTTGCTTTTAGTATCATCTCTGCCTCAGGGGCTATCCTAGACAGGGCCACTTTCTTTGCTTGCTCTGGATCTGCTGAAAGAAAAGCCTTACTTCCCAGTCAAGGAAAAAGAGGCTTATGGAAGCAAACTTTTTAGAGTTAGTTACCTTGAATCTGCTTTTTACATATTTGCATTTGGGAGTTAATGCTGTTATTTAAAATAAATAGCTCCTGGGTGTTTCTCTAAGAACAGAGCTGAAGAGCTGAATTTGCTTTTTGTTCACAATTTTAATTCATTTCTTTCAATTCCTCACACTGTGTACATTACCCAAAGGGACAGAAGTGGGCGAATCATGGAAAGTTGTTTTGTCTGGGGTGGAGAAAAGCATGATGTCTAGGAAGTTTGCATATTTAGTAATCTCAAAAGCATGACATAATAACAATTTACTCTAATTCAGCATGACAAAACTTTTAATGTCATTCAATTCAGCTTAACTAGCATTTGCTGGGCCTTCAAGTCAGCCTGAGGAGAGGAAAAGATCGCCATCCCTACTGTTAAGGGTGTAACCTTTCTTAAAGGATTGACAAAGCCCAAACCCGGACTTCTGGTGAAGTTTTGTTGAAGGGGATGAGAAGTTTGCCTTGCTCCATGGAACAAGTTAGAAACTGCTTGCCCAAGCCCTAGACATCCTCTAGTAGGAACGCCAGCCCTTGGGAGAAAATGAAGGTAGAGGCTGTCGGGTTATCTTGGTCACTCTGTCCACATTCTCTACGTCCTTGAGGATCCTCTCTCCAGCCTGAATCCCAAGGCACATTCATTTGTGCCTTGGCAGTAGCGTCTGACACCTGCAGGTTCTCTAGTCACCAGGACCCAAAGGGAAAGGAATGAATGGCTCCATCTGCCTCCTCCCGCCCTGAGAGACCCCTGTCTGCCACCTGGAGGGTGAGAAAGCTTGGAGACTGACCTCCCTTGGGAAGTGCGACCACCTTCCCTAAACACCCTGCTACACCAGAGCCTCTTTGCAACAGGGCCTGATATTTTCAGAGTTAAGAGACCGGTCCCTTGATCCCCGGTGCAGGGAACGAAGGCTGACTTTTAGTTTTTGTGAGAGCAGCAGGCACCACACTAGCTCTTACAAATCCATTAGAAAGACTTTTTACATCTAAAATACGTTAAGCATAAGGCTTAAGCACTTGGTAAATCTCTCCCTGGTTTCTCTTCAAGGGACATGTGAGTGAGATCTACACTCTGGTCTTTCTAGGGTTTTATTGGAGAATGTTTCAGAGGATAGGAGAGAAAACAGAAGTCCAAGAATGCATATCGTGCAGACTGAGTCCGTTAGCAGGTTCTTAACGCCACATGCTCCACGCACTTTGCTTGTGTAGAAGGCCACATGCGTTTTCACTCCCTTTGCCCGAATTCTTCCCACACACTGCACCCTTTCTCGCCAGGCTAACCTCAGTGGTGGCCTCTTCCTCGACTTCCTTCTTGACTCTTCCAGCTCAGACACACTTTTTTCCTACCTGAACACCTGCAGTGCTTAAAGAAAGTAAACAACGATCCTGTAGAAGCTCAGAGTAAGACTTTGCCTTAGGACCTGCAATGCGATCTCTTCATTCCTGACAATAAAACAGAATGTTTCCTGTTAGAATATATGAAGGAATGCTGACAGTTAAGTCTCCTTTCCTCTCTTTTCATACTTAAAAAAATAGCTAACAAGGGCCGGGGATTTAGCTCAGTGGTTTTGCCACCTGCTGCACAAGTGCAAGGACCAGAGTTCGATCCTCAGTACCAAAAAAAAAAAAAAAAAATCCAGTCAACAATGTGCTAAGCATTTTCCATGCATGATCTTATTTAATACCGGCAGCAGTCTGCAGACACACATAGCAGGTTGTCTATACCTCAGAGATGAGAAACTACACTGTCCCCTCAGCCACAGGTTGGATACAAAACAGCCCAGAATTGGAACTCAGAGCTTTCTAGCTTCAGAGGTAAGGTGTTGCTCTCAAACACCACAGTATGCTCAGGAGATCTAGACCATTTGATTTTATCTGCTATCAGACAAATACTGATATTTGGAGATTTCACATTATATGAGAAGTGTCTTTTGGGTCTCGTCTTAGAATCTCTGAAACTGTATCCAGCCTCACTGGGAGAAGATGTTTGGGGTTCCAATTGGAGATCTTTTATGAATGTGATACATGAGCCAAACGGTGCTCAGTGTTGAACTTAATGCCCATCATCTCCTGACTCTGAGACACTCCTGGTTGGTCGCCGGGCCTGCCTGATACACACACACACACACACACACACACACGCACATGGGATTCTCATCAGACAGTAGGTACCAAAGCATTTATTATCCTATCTCTGTATTTTGAGAAATAAAAGCATTTGAGACTTCCCATCTATGACTCTAGCTAAAGACTGCAAGGCCCTTGAATTTTAAGTGGATTTCAAAAACTCATTTTCGTGCTGCTGCCCTGCAGAATTGGATCTTCCATTCTGTGCTGGGCACTGGCAAGTAGAGAGAGAGCCAAGAGGTGGGATGAGTTTGGCCCAGTGTCTCACTTGCTGTGGGCCAAGATGTAGGTTTCGGTTTTGTTTGGGTCGGCCTCGAATGCACTTGATTCCTTTTTTCAAAGTGTCCAAATGAGAGAGTGCACAGGAACTACCAAGGGACAGTGGGTGTGTCGAAGAAGCAGGTCCCTCTGTGTGTGTAGCTGTCATTGGCCCTGCAAGGAGCTTTCTAAGACACTGGCTGACCCGAAGGACACGGGCTGTCATATCAGCACGTGAGGGCTCTTCACATGTATTTACTGCAGGTTTTTGCTGTTTTGGTGCTTGATTCTAAGAGTAAGTTAATAAGGCTCTGCAGGGCAAGAACACCCCTGGTGAGCCAGCGGCATGCTCCACACATAGCCTGGGCTCCCTGCCTGCCCCTCTCCTCCCAGCCCGAAGTGGAAGCCAGGCCACTCTGGGTTCCCCTGTGAACACAGACAAAGAGGAAGGGCATGTGCGGGCCATCCTTGGAGAGTGCTGGGCAGGTAGGTAGGCCTCACTCGAGGTCAGGGATGAGGTAAAAAGTCTGCTTTTCCCTAGAGAACGCACTGGAATCAAAGTAGGGAGCAGAGATCAGAGACAAGGGGCTGCAGGGTCTCATTTGGACTCCAGGCTTGTTTGCCCTCACAGAGTTGGCCTGTACCATGTTTAAAATTTAAACGAGCTGTCAATGTTTAAAAATCAGAACATTTTGCATTAAGAAAATAGAAACATTTAGCTGTACTGAGAAAAGCAGAAGGTCTTATTCGGGCCTGTTGGTGATGCATTGGAGCTGAGCAGGTGCTGTGCCACTGAGAGCCGAGGGTTTGCTGCTCCTTAGCCACCCGACAGGGACACACACCAGCCAGCCCTGGTCAGGCCACCGGCTCAGCCACTCTTAGGCATCATTTTACCTGTACTTTAGCTGTTGCGGTTTATGAGACGGGCTGTCTGAGGCCTTCGATTCCATGGAAAGGTGTTTAGGCCTGGAGGAGGTTGCTCAAAGCTGCCAGTGGTTCTGACACCTGGAGGAAGTCGGTGAGGCTTCAGCTTCAGAGATGCCTGGCTGTTTGCCCCCGTCCGTTGAGTTTCCCAACTAAATCCATAGGAGCTCTGTTCGTGAAGTGGGTGCAGCAGGCAGTGCAGATGAGAAGTCGAGTCCCAAGCAAGTGGCACGGAAGAGGAACCTGGAAGTACCTCGGGGACAGAGCTGTGATGTCCGGGATTTGGAAGGAGGAAAAGTGAAGGGGCGTGGGCAGGTGCTAGGGCTGCTGCTGCTGGAAACGCGATCAACCGACACGGGCGTATTAGGCTCAGGGTCACCAGTGCAAATGGACCACAGCTCACGCCTGAACTTTCCTGGAGGGGGTGCACAGCTCACGCGGAATCTGTTTCCTATCAAAATAGATTTGTTTTTAAAATTACCGTCATGTGTATAAGTCAGTGTGTAGAAGAGCTAGCTGCATACACATGTGCAGCCCCTTCCTGGACAGCAGGTTCTCTCAGAATAGAAATCCTGTCTCCTTCAATACTGCACCCAATGATGCCTATTACATGACATGTGCACAAGAAATAATTACTGAACCAATGAATCAATTAATTGGTTAAAGACAAACAGAAATTGAAGTTACTCTTTTGAAAGACTCAATCATAAAGTTTTGCTTATTTAAACGTCTGGTCTTTATTTATCCCTGTATGCCAACCCTCCACTGTAGCCAGATGCGCTACACAGGGCAGCTGTTGCATTAGACCCATCTGTGTAATAATGCGTGTGGTTCTGGATTATAAAGATTTTTCCATTTTAATCGGAAAGGGCTGGGACTCACCTGTAGTTTTCTTGAAGGAGCAAATCGCTGGAGAGATTGTCTCTCCTGGAGCGCCCTGCAGTTGGAGTCAGAGTACCTTTCAGAGTCAGTCATCTCCTGCTCTGCATCTGTTGCTGCCATAAACTTTTCTGGGCTGCTTGGGGGGTGGGAGCTAGTCAGCTGTTGAGACCATTGGAAGATTTTACAAATGATAATACGTGCTTTGCATGTTTTATATAAGAAATAAGTGAATATGCTTGTGTTATAAGAATAATAAAGGCGCACATAATGCAAAACTAAAAGGCCCACCTTCAACTCTGTCTGCTTTTGTAAGTCCATTCCTTTTCTCAAATTGATGGTTGATAACTTTTATATATACTATCTAAAACTTTTTTTCTATGTAGTTAGGGCACAGTCCTATATATCTATGAAGACAGCATTCTTTAAAATCATAAACTGGATCATAGTATAGGTAATGGTAAATAATTTGTCAAAAAGTGGCAGAGCTTTGCACCTTGGAGAAATGCATCTTAACGCATATGTAACCCTGCAGCCATTTAATCACAGCACAGCACTCTGCCATATGCATGTATCTTAGCTTATTTACATGTTCTGCAATCCACGGACAGTTGGCTTGTTTCCCATCTTTTACTGCTCTGAATAAGGCCACAATGAACATTTTTGCCCTTCCCCTTTGTGAAAATATAGGAGTCTTTCTGTAGAAAACATGCCCTGCATTACAATTGCTGGTGTAAAATATGCGCATGTAAAATTCTGATAGCTACTTCAAATTTGTTCTTCCAAAAAGCTAAACCAATTTACTCCTTTGCCAGTAGGATATGAGATTAACTCTTTCCCTGCTCCCTTACCTAAACTAGCTATTACCATTTTTTTTGCAGTGCTTTTGAATTTTGTGCACAAGACAGTAAATTCCCACCGTTATTCTGAATAACATCATTGGTTCCCCATTAAGGGGAGCTGATGGGCATTTGGCTTCCCGTCTCCTCTGTCTAAATGTCACTCTGTCCTCCTTTTTCAGATGCTCATTACCTCACCTGCAGGATCCAGGAGTGTGCCGAGACCACTCGGAGTGGCCCCTTTGCCCGCTCCATTGACATCAGCTCCCTGGTTGTCCAGGATGAGTATATCTTCATTCAGGTGAGTGTAGAAAGTGCAGGCAGTGGGAGGAGGAGGAAGAGGATGGTGTGAGTGAAGCCGGCTGCCTGCTGGGAAAGTGAAGAAGGCGTTTCCCAGGCCGTGAAGGTTCCAAGCTAGGACCCCGTCCCCTTTCACGCCCGGTCCTTGGGACGGCCCAGCGCTCTGCTGCAGAATGAGGTGTCATGGGTCCGTGGCCCTTCCGGGGGCTCCCGTGGCCCTCAGATTCTTCCATCATATCGAACATTTCACAAACAGAGCTGTCTCCACATAATTAGGTCTTGGGCTGGAGTCTGAGGTTGTTCAAAGCCAAGCGTCTAATAGTCTTTGACTTCAAGGTAACTTATTAAAGCTGTGTTCTATTTCTGTCCAAAGTGACTTGTCTAACTTGAAAATGAAAATCACCACTAAATTAAGAATCTCTAGGGTTTTCATTCTGGAAAAGTGAAGAACTCACTAAGTCTTCCGCTCTTTCCACTGCTGGCCTCGGCCTCCAATGGGCAAGTCACAAACCCTTGGCTTCCAGAACTCTGACTGCTACAGAAAGAGATGGAACTTAACATTTGTAGGCAGGCAGAGGGAGCTTCTTTGGAGGTTTTGAGTTTTGTGACTTCTACTAGGTACCGAGAGGAAGTACAACACTGATCAAAAAATGGGGGGAAAGCAAAGATGACTCTCGGACAAGGGGCCGGCCCCACCTGTGTGCCTGCCTGCACGTGCATGGGCAACAAATCCAACCGTGAGTTTCTCCGCTCTGGTCTTCCATCATTCTATTCTCAGTTGTATGGCAAACTGTTTCCCACAGGAAACCTGCACTTAGACACTGTCTGAGTTTGCTCAGACCTAACTAAGTATGTGCTTGGCCTCTGGCAGCCCCAGGCTTCTAGTCTGCCAACCTCCCAGTTCTGTTCCTCACTGTCCTGTGCACCTTTGTCGCTTCAGGGTCTGCATCTACACCTCTAGCACACAACCCTTTAGGAGCCGTCGCCTACTAAACCAGAATAGATCTGTATCCTTTCCAGTTCCAGTGTACACTGATGGTAGAGACACTATTTTGTTCTTAGGTTCTGCTCCCTCATGCTTGACCTTACCATTATGTCTTTGGAAATCAGAGTGCTAAATGAACACTTTCATGTTTGTAGGTTTGGGTGCGGTGTGTAGCAGTCTTTCAACAACTCAGTTGCATGGATTTTTCTCTTTTTGCAGTACTGGGGATTGAACCCAGGGCCTTCACACTGAGCTACACCCCCAGCCCATTGTCTTCATCTTCATCTTCATCATCATCATCATCATCATCATCATCATCATCATCATTATTTTGAGACAGGGTCTCACTGAATTACTAAATTACCCAGGGGGGGCTTGAAATTAGGACCCTCCTGACTCAGCCTTTCATACTGTTAGGATTACCTGTGTGTGGCACCTTGCCTGGTATTTGCATGGATTTTTGAAGTCAAGGAAAGTACAGGAAAAGTAGCTAGCAACTCAAAAACCAACTTGAAAGAGGAAATAAAAGAGGAAATCTCTGAAACTTAAAAAAACTCCATTTCAGTTTGATTTAAAGCCAGAAGCTCAGGGTTGTTTCTCCAAGTCTTGGCAGGTCAGTGTCTCTCTCGTCTCCTTCACAAGTATTTATTGAATACATGCACTGCAAAGCATATCGTGCTAGCCCTATGCTTGATGCTTCCAAGTTGCTTGTCCTTGGTCTGCTTCTCTCTGAATCTAGACTCACCTCCTTAGCGATCCCTTAGCTTTGAGTAGCATCTCTGTGTTCTGATGACTCCCACGTCCAACAGCTGTGACCTCTGCCTTGTGCCGCAGATACAAGGATCTAAGAGCCACCTCAGTGCCCAGTGTGGATGTCCCACAGGACAAAACCAAACCGGCAGGCACCTCTTGGCCTTGACCCAGTTGGAGACGTTACCCTCAAAGTAGAAGGGCAAAGGTCAGAATGTGTTGCCAAACTGAACGAATCCAGCCTCAGCTAAAATCACTCTTAATTATTTCTCAGCTGATTCTTTTTCACAGGATCCCCCTTCTTAGAATCCCCATTCACTGTTCTTTTCTTTCTCCTTACTGGAGTTTTTGACAAGCAGAAGCACATGTGATTTGTGAATTTTCCAGGCTGCTCGCCTTTTCCTTAATGCTAGCACTGTACATAAGATGAACCATGACAGTATTGTCTCTGGGAAACATTACCTCAAACTTGAAATGATCACCTTTTTCCCTTGTGTTGCATAAGTTTTCTGCAACTCTGCAGGTGGATAACCAGATTTTTAAAGTTCTCCCGAAACAGTTCTTTTCCTATTGTAGTACAAGTATTTTTTAAAAATCAGCAACATTTTGTTTCATTTGAAAGAGATACGAAGTTTCACCACTCAGTGAAGTTTTATTCATTGTGCAGCACATCTGAGTCCTCTGCTCTGCACCTGGGGTTGATAGATCATGAACACCGCAGAGTTCCTGCCTCACTGGCACCAGTTGGAGTGGAAGAGGGGAGAGGATCTGCATTGATGTGCACATCCAGGGGCCAGTAAGACTGGAGCCCAGCAGCCAGCATTTCTCAGACTGTGATTTGCCATTCTTCACTGTGTAACCTTGAGCTGTGCCCCATTTGCCCATAAAAAGAATATAATGGCAACATCCACCCTGTGGATTTCTGGGAGGATCACATTTGCTAATTATAGCTATAGAATAATGCCTGAAACAGTTCCTGGAACTTAGTGGTGCATGAGGGTTTTCTATCCTTCTCTCTTCCACTGTCATCTGTTTACCTCTCTACAAGCATTCTAGATTATGACAGGTGCCTTGGGTAGAAATGGCTTTGAGTGTGGCAGGGGAAGGTGTTGGCGCTTTATTTAGGGTCACCTGGAAAGGCCTCCTGGAGGGTGGTAGAAGGCCACATAGTCAGCAGGGAATGCAGAACCAGGCTTGGGCCTGGTGAGCCCTGATTGGGTGGCAGCTTGGGGTGTGGGGCTGGGTGCAGGAGTTTTTACTATCAAGAAATAAGAAAAAAAGACTAACAACACCCGGAGAAATGCAAAAGGCCATTAACTTGAAGATAAGCATTTGCAGCTGCAAGCTGGTCAGGATTACCATAAGTAGAGGAATGACAGCAGGCTGCAGGTACACATGTAGACTGGTTAGCCACCCGTATTAAGCAGCCCTTCCCTTCTGGGCTGTGACTTTAGCCATTTGCACGGGTACATACAACTCATGTGCCTTAGTGATGACAGTGCCTGTGTAATTGTAACCACTTTTTCTTAGCTCTCGTTATGGTCTGTTTCCTTTGCCTTCTGATAGATTCCTTTGATAGTCTTTAATATTTGTGTTTTAGTTCTCCTTGTCTTTCTGAGTATAACTTTCTGTAACATACCAACTCTTCCGTTGGTGGACTATGTCCATTGATACCCTCATGTGAGCAATTGTAAAATTAATGTGTTCCCATGCATTTCAGTTTCTTCTCACCCCTCAGATTCTTCTACCGTGCAGCTTTGATTTATTATAGCATTTCTAGTATTCGCTTTACTATCTTAACATGTAATTCTGTTGGACTTAAATATTTTGTGAAGCTCCTCAGAGGAAACATGAAGAAAATAGTGTGCATTCATGAGCCCTGCCATATCCCCACTCCCAGCCCATTCTCATTAATGAAGTCTTTAGAGCTCACGGGTCCTCTCCTCCGCTGGCCTCCCTGCATCCCTTCTATCTCAGTCTTACAGGTATCCGTGTTCTGCTGTCCTCACCCATCCTCTGCTGTAGTTTTCTCTCTTAGATCTTGGTTGTCTGAAGTTGCCCTTTAGTAAAGTCTTCAAGACCAGCTGATTGTCGAATGTGGGAAATGTTTATTTACCCCCTTTCTGCTTTAATATTATACTTAGGGGGATACAATTTATGTGTTATTCTTTCTATGAGAGCTTTGCTCCATTAATTTTCTGCATGTTAATGTGTCAGGCCAGTTTGTGATTTTCCTCTTTTAGTTGTCTTGTCTTGTTTTTGTTTTTCTTGGGGGGGGGCATTAAGTTTTTGTGTTTGCTTTCCTTTACCTTTGGTAACCAAACACCCTTTTGTCCTTATACTGAATACCAGTTACTTACTAGGGTCTGTTCTGTAGTTGACATGTGTCAATCTTTTCCCTTACAATATGAGTCTCTTTCATTCAGTAGATTCAAGTTTTTTCTATTCTCAATTTCTCATAAGTTCTGTGACATATCTTGAATTGCTTGTTTTATTTCAGTTTTGTTGCTTTGGCTATTTTCCATCCAGGGCCAATAAGTACATACTAGACAGGAAAGAACAAAGATGAACATTGTTTCAAACCACCCCCATTTGTGCAAACTGAGTGAACTGAGATATAAAGACAACCTTATATTATTCTGGCATAAGTATTTAGTAGTGTCCAATATCCAGGCTCCATTTTACCGTTTCCTCTTTTTTTTCCTTTCTTACCATCCTTTTTGAACTTTGGCAGCTCATATTTTATCTTTTTGTTACCTCAACATATCTTCTCTGAGCTCTTCTATTTCTGTTTCAACCTCCCAAAGTAGGTTATTTTTAAACCCAGCAATGTGGTCACAATTTTCATTTGCTCAATGGAACCATGCTTTGGCCTGTGTCTGCTACTTGTTTCTTTCTTTCCCCTTTACTCTTTTATTTTGCAATATTATTATTTTGTACTTATTGTACTGTTTCTTTTATCTTTATGTTTTTAAGTATCACTTTTTTTTCAGCACTGAGATTGAACCCAGGCTTTCATACTTAGCTACATCCTAGCCCAGTCTGAGCTCAAACTTGTGATCCTCCTGTGTCAGCCACAGGCATGCACCACCATGGCTGGCTAAGTCTTATATCCTAATGACCGGAGCTCTCCCTTCATGAACTATTCCAGGAGGTTTATTTTAGTGATAGATCAGAACTCTGCTTCCTCTTATCAGGCATCCTCTTTGGCTCTTACGGAAGTGCCATATGAATCAAAGTCTTTATTTATTTATTTATTTTTAGTGAGTTCTTTTCATAAGGTAAACTACCTGGGACACAATATATATGGTTTCCTTCCCACGTATATTGTATTTCAGGGTTAAATTTTCATTAAGTATAGAGTTTGCATTTCTTTTTCTTGCTTTCTCTGTTGCTGTGAAATGATTTACGAGAGGAAAAAGAGAAAGCACTATTATTACTTGGCTATTTAAAACCATTTATAAATCCTTATCCTGTACTTTCTGAAGTGTTGCAATAGCTTGCTAACTGATTTCCTTGCTCCCAGACCAGCACACTGACCCCCAGTTCATTCATAACAGTACTCCCACAGTCATTTATTTAAAATAAATGTCAATGTTCCCACTTTCAGTGGCTATTCATCACCTATAGGGTGAAATCCAATTTCCTTATCATTGCATACAAGAACCTCCGCAGCCTGGATCCTACCCATCAGCCTCATGTGAATCCCATACGCTCACCTGCTTCCCATATACTTCCCCTTTCTTATCCTTCTATGGTCCTAAACCATTTTAGTCTTCACTTACATACCTTGCCGTTCTTCGCCTCTTACGCACTTCTCACAGACACATCTTTTTTCTATGAAGAATGTCCCTTTACCAGAGAAGCCCATTCTGCAAGATCATGTTTAGGTCACACGTCCTAAGTGCAGTCTTCCTTGACCTCCCCACAGGCTTGCCCTTCTCCTTGTTCATTTGTGTCCTGTCTCTCAGCTAGATCTGTCAATGCTGAAAGAAAACAGCTACATCTTATTCATCATTGTTTTTTTTGCACTTAGTACAAGGTCTGGTACTCAATAAATGTTTGTCCAACTGAACTGAACTGAGGAGATAAGATACTGTCCTTCTTTTTGGGGAGTAGCTAGTTATCTTTTTCAAGCAGGGGAATTGTGTTTCTGCAGCTAACAAAATAAGACAACTTAGGGTAATTGGCGATTGCTCACTGCATAAGAAATGCCCATATGTAGAATGTCTCAGTGTTTTCATAGAATTGCTGTCCAGGAATTGCCCAGTGTGTTTTTTTTCCGGTGCCCTTTTTATATTCATTCATTTAAATACATTAAAATACATTCAGCCCCGTGGGGAACACAGACAACTGAACAATTATAATGCAGTGTGATGAGAGCTCTATTTGTGGGAAGCTGTCAGGGTAAGGAAGAGAAGATTGGCCAGAGGTGTAGTTCTGGCTTTTGGGGGGGTGAGGGGAGGCGCTGAAGACCAGTGAAGCCAGTGAAGGAGAGAGGTATTCCACACAGGGGGGAGGTGTGGGAGAGGGGGAGGCCTGGGGAGGAGAAGGAAGGGAGAGAACAAGATGAGCCAGGACCTGGTCCAAGGTCATCTGTGGTTGTGCGAGGGAATGGAATGTCAGGAAAAAGCTAGAAAATCGTAACTTCTATTTCCTTTCATTAAATCTAAATAATTTTGTGGTGCTCTCTTTACAGTTGCTAGAAAGCCCAGAACTAATTCTTGTGTCAATTTTAGCAGCTCCTTTGCATGAAATTTGATAATATTGTTAGTCTTCCCATCTCTTTCTTCTCTACCATCGGTCATTTTTCATTACTTGGCTTCTCTTTGTAAAATTCTCGGTGCTTATTTTGCACTTATACATTTAAAAAAATATTTAGAAGTCATCTCAGATAATTGGAAGCCACCTGAAATGGGAATTTTTAAACATTTTGGAGTGTGTGAGTTTTGAAAATTGAAATGAGGATCAGCACAGGTTTTGTGGAGAAAGTAAGATATGGACTTCAGTGATCAATATCTACCTCAAAGCAAGGAAAGGGGTGGAGTTTTCATTATGTTCATTGAAATAAAGCTGCCTCAGGGGGCTTTGTCAAAGCAGAAATCCACAGACCAACAGAGGAACTTGTATAGATTATATGTGACATGATACCAAGGCATCAGAGTAGGTAGCCATCCACTGACCCCAGTTACCATACCCCCGAGAATAACCTTGGGGAAAGCTACATATCACTCCTCATCTTGAGTCTAGCATCTCCAGGGAGCATCATCAAGGCAGAGCTGGGCCCTGAGGATTATGCATTCTGAAAGATCCTCACTGTCCCTTAGTAGACTGGCCTTAATAGGGGAACCTTATAAAGGCAGATTATTTTCTTTATGCCTAAAATTTGAGCAACTAAGTAATAGCAAGTAAGGGGTATGACATGAAGCTTAATTCTCAGTTGGATCGGCTTGGAAGGTGCTGAAAATTAGTGAAGCACACCTCTGGATGTGTGACTCGGTCATGGAGGTGTGACCTTGGGAACCATATCTGGTCCCTGCGCCTTTCTCTCTGGCCCTGTGCCTCTGCTCTGCTTCTCAGCCACCATGAGTTAAGCATCTGTCCTCCAAGCCCCTCTACCACGAGTTTCTGCCTTAGAGCCTGCTGGCTAACTATGAGCCAAATAAACATCTCCTTCTTTAAGCTGTGGGTGCTGGTTATTTGGTCTCAGCCATGGGAAAGCTGACTAGTACAAGGGACTTTGCAAAATTTGGTAGTTCATAACTTTAAGTGATTTTTAACTTTTTAAAGTATTAATCTTCAATTTGGCTTCGTGCTGAGATAATACACTTGAGAAAAAACAAAAGAAAAATTCACAGCGAAAGAGCCCAGCCTATTCCTTCATTCTCCTACTCTTATATACGAAAGGGTGTTTTTTTGGGACCAGTCTTGCACTGGGTCTCAGGGAACAATGGAGGAACTACACTACTGAGTATTTACCCAAAGGAAATGAAATCACTATGTCAAAAGACATCTATACTTCCACTTATATTGCAGCATATTGATAATTTAGAAATGAAACAACCCAAATGTTTTCAACTGAAGTGGATAGAAAATGTGGTACATATACAAAAAGAAGTATTATTCAGCGATAGAAAATGAAATCCTGTCATTTGCGATGATATGGATGTAAGTGGAGATAACCATGCCAAGTGAAATCAGCCAGACATGGAAGGACAAGTACTGCATGGTGTCACACACGTGGTATCCAAATGCGTTGATCTGATAAAAGTCAAGAGCAGAATGGTGTCTACCAGATGAGAGAATAATGATAAGGGGAGATGGGAGAGGTTGATTGCTGGAAGCTGAGTTACAGTCCTCTGGGAGCAGGAAGTCCTGGTGTGTACTATGTGATGAGGTGACTGCAGTAAGGCAAATGTACTACACATTTCCAATGCTAGAAGGAAGGACTTTGAATGTATTCACCAGAAAGAAATGATAACTGTTTGAGGGGACAGATATGTTTGCCCTGATTTGAACATTGTACAGTATAGACATGCAAGGAAACATCACATGGTACCCTACAGATATGTACATTTTTTTGTTTTTTTTCATATCACTTTGAAAAATAAATAAAATATTTACAAATAGAAGAGGATGTCTATGATGGTGGTTCTGCAGGCTTCCTGGTCCTTTCTTGAACAGCAATTCTGATATTGTTTGCTTTGTGTATTGAGGATTTTAATCTCTCATTTGACAAAAGGATCCTAATGCTAACAAATGTTTGAAAACCACTGATTTTTGTGGTATAATTTGCTACCTGGGCCAAAGGTCAAACTTTTTCATGTGTGGACAAAGAACCACTCGGAATTCAGATGAGATCCAGGCCCATATCTTTTCTGTGCATAGAAATAAATGCAACATATGTATTTCAAAAGCCCAGGTAAAAAAATTCTCTGTATAAAGATATTCATTAATTAAATTAATTAAACATCTCCCTATGATAGTAGTATTTTTGCACAAAAATTATGCCCTCTCTCATTTGCTGCTTTAAAGGAAAACTCCCATGACCAATTATAATTTCTCTTTTCTGGATATATTATTTTAATCCTTTTTATCTCATCTGCTGTAGAAGGGTCTGTAAATTACTCACACCGCTCCTGCAGCGTAGAGAGACGCCACAGGTTCACCTTCACCGGTTACCTACTGAGGAGAGGAGCCAGCCGCCATCTTGGTGGTTTTGCCTGAGGAAACCTTGGGTCTGACTTCCCCTGGTGAGCAAGCCGAGCTGGGATGCATGGAAAGCAGAGAAATGTGTTAATCTGGTGGTGAGTTTCTGTGCAGGAGTCCTGGGGTTTCGTAGTGAAACAGAAAGGAGTTCATCCTTCCCCAGAAGAGCCCTGTTGTAATGGGGAAGAACCTGCCAGAAATGCCTTCATTCCACATGACTGCTAGAGAGAGAAGGCAGGGGCCTAGAGCCTGACGTTGATTTCTGCATTCCGAGTCAAGATGGTGGAGCATCCTGAATTTTGTTGTATGGAGGAGCTTTTCTAGTGATTATTCTAGAGAGCAGGCAGTCCAGCTTGGCCAGGGAAAAGCCCCTCTCTGAAAGGATCCACACCCTGACCACTAGGGGGTGCAGGAAGAGACAGCACAGGGCCTGTGTCCCCCGCATGGGCACCTGCAGGCCTTTGATGGGTGCCTCCAACCCTGTGCTGTCTCTCCCTGGGCCCTTGAGGACCCTCCCCGAGAGAAAGATGCACTCCCTCGGGGAACAAACTGTCCTGCTGCATGCAACTCCCTTCATTAAAAAAGGGTTCAATGCCAGCCTATCTTCAGTATCTAAAACAGGAGAGAAAAAGCCCAGATGCATAATTAAGACAAAGTACTCAAAAGGCAGAGAATGAAAGTGCATAGAAGGGAAGGTCACCCTGACACTGCTAAACACTCTTCCACATGACCCCAGATGCCGTTGTTCCTAAGCCCAGGACAACACTTCCCCTTGCCCTTCCCTCAGCCTTAGTTGCCTGGGAGATGACACCCCACAGCCTGAGTACCCAGGAGAAAGAAGTGGTTTGTGTGAGCCGAACACAAGGAGAAAGCCCCAGGGCCTAGATACACACTTGGACCCTGAGCCTGGAAGGGCTCGCGCAGATCCGATCCATGACAGGAGAGATCACTCCCGAGCCAGTAGCACCCACAGTCTCCCACCTAAGCCAGAGAGATGTCACTCCCAGAACCCTGGTGAGCCTTGGTACAATGCCAGGTGGTCAGGGAGCACTGTGCAGAACCGTGTCAGAGCACCCAGGGCTACCTTCAGCTGCTAGGAAGGCTCTGTGGATGAAGAGGGAAGCACTCGCGTAGGGAGGAATGCTGGAGAGGGAACAGTGGCGCCTACAGGTTCTTGGGTGGTTCCAGTACCGAAGTGAAGCTGGAGAATACAAGTTGCTATTAATTTTTAAGAGTTCTGTGTATGAACATAGAAAAATAGTGCTGCTGTAAATGTTGGGAGATGCTCCAGGAGGACCAGCAATGGAGAGCTGTGAGCGGCCAATTAACAGGTACCTCACGAGCCCCCAGACCTTGTCAGGTGCAGCAGGATGAGGCAGGGGCAGATGTTGCCCTGCTCTCAGGCAGTCTGTGACTGAAGCAGCTGGTGGACTCGTGGGGAGGGAGTCCGAGGTGAAGGCTGGGCTGTAGTCAGGGATCTGCCTCCTACCAGGCAGGGAACACTGGGCCCGCTTAGATCCTCAGAGCACTGAGTTCCTCATCTCTGTGGAATGGAATCCTGCTACTTGCCCTATGCAAATTGGAAGGTTGTTGTGAGGATCAAGGGAGATAATAATGGCTTTGAGATGCTTTGAAAAGTACAAAGCCCCACAAAATGCAAGAATCAGGAGACTAATCCACATGCAAAAGTCAGCCTCATTATTTTGCAAGTGCACATTTACTTTTAAGGATTTTTATAAGCTTATCACATAAAAGATTACTAAATCTCTTCTCTGAATTCATTTTT